ACTGTGTGGGATGAAGTGAAACCAGTCGAGTCTTTGTCGACGTTCTTAATTGCTTGTGACTATAAGGGATCTAAGCTTGAGACAGAGTAAAATATATCTCGAATCCTTAACGCAGCTGTAAATTTCGCTGCAAGACTCGTGTGATACGTTTCCCAAATTATTATGACCTCGAACATTTCCGAAAATTACTGTAAAAGGACCAGATGTCCATTCAGACCAACGAATTGGAATAGGTTTGAAGGAGCCAAGCCTGTACATTTACATTGCATTGTTGTCGCCAAAATTGCGTAGTTTTAGTGCATCCTTTTGACTCAATATTTACCAAAGTGACAGCGTTGTGTCAATCTAATAATAAATCTTACCATCGGAAAGATATCAACATTCATTAGGCTTGTTCTTCTCTTTGCAAATTATGTAAGAAGTAGCACGTCTTGCAATCGCACTCCAAGTATCTGCAAACACTAGCACTTTTAAAAAAATAACACTAATACTACGAATCTAATGACAAATGTAAAAAACTTTCCTTCTGTCTAGTGTTGTTTTTTCTGATAGTTGAGGAGAAGGTTTGAAACATCGATATCCTCACAGATTTCGGCGCGCTCTTTTCAAATTTGGCTCACAAAAAGCATTTTTTGTTAAATTTCATTCCGACTCTTTCTATGGGAAAAATAGGTATACAACAATGAATCAATAAACGATGGCAATATTTTTCAATCATAAAGTACATGCAAAAATAACCAAAAAAGATCCTCATATATTGATTGATACCTATTTTTTTCTCCAAGATAGATTGATACCGTATTCAAAAATGTAATAGATGTTGAAGTCATAAATAATGTTGCTTTTTCATTTGAAGGAGTCAGTTCCTTAATGTATCACAATCAATGCTATTACATGTATAAAAATTTAAGTTATTGCCTTAGAGCCGTTTTACACACAAGAGAATTACTCCGAAAATTATGGTTATAATTATGCCGAAAATTTTTGCTGCCGTATTACACCTAAAAGAATTCTTGTGAAAATTTTCATGGTAACCAGTTCTATAGAATATGCGCGAGAATCGGCGCAGAGGGTTATTTCCATGCATGTCATTATCGAATGTCAACGTCAACAACATAACCTCACTTAACATTTGTAGGTGTGGTCCTCTTCGAGTCGTACGAAGTTATTGTTTATTCATAATGTCGTGGAATCGGGAAAAAGATACACTGTTGTTGGAGGAGTACCAAAAATAGCCAAACCTGTACAGGGTGAAGTCACCCAATTACAAAAACAGAAATTTGCGGCGTCAGGCGCTGGATGCGATAGTTCAAGCATTGAGAAGTTTTATAATATTAACCAAGATCTCGATTTCAATAATAAATTTAAATCAACGGCGACTGTTGTCTTTCCGATTATATTGGACGTCATACTCGTTAAGGTTATGTCCCTTCGAAAATATTACTCTAATGCGCAGGCGTATCATATGATTTACTCGGAAATTTTGTTTGCTTGTGTCCTACAGGTTGTAGAGAAAATCTTCATATTTTTTCCATGCAAATTTTCGGCATAATTATGACCATAATTTTCGGAGTAATTCTCTTGTGTGTAAAACGGCTCTTAATCTACTCCCAAGATATATATTTTTTCGGTTTCAAAATTTCACTTCTACACGCTGTATCCCGGTAAGGGGGTATTTTAGGGCCTATATGTGTATATGGACTTTTCCTGTAATTCTGATTCTTCCTTATTACCTAGAAATATTGCTACTATTTTCTAAATCACCACCGATTACCTGGAAAAAATGACTTTTGATCATGTTTTTACATTGTCGAGAAATATAGTCATATGAAAAATCAAATTAGAGTAAAATTAGGGACTAATTTATTTTTTTGGTTTGGGCGGCAGCAAAGTTTATTCTAACACATTCTCGGTCGCCATTTTTCCAATATGGTGGCGCGAACTGCAAACAGGTAGAATGATTTTTGAATCTTTACCAAAACGTTCTAGGTAAAACTTTTGAATTATTGTGCCAGTGATTGATGTCCCGTATAATCGTATTAGAATAAGCTTTGCTGTTCTTGTACTCCGTAACTGTTCATCACACAAAAATATGTCGACATTTTCATCGTAAAGCAAGTTATTTGCGGGGCAAATTAAAAACTCCCGACTCTGAAGTGAATTTCGTGTTTATATTTTTTGCGTCGGGAATTGAAAAGCATTTAGAGAAATGAGTCTACTTTTCAACGACTTGACCTATTTTGATTAAAAGACCTCTTTATCAAATCATTTCATCTTTACTTAGACATGTCGCTCACTTTGGGTTGCTCTCCCTGACGTCCCCCTTCCATAACAATCAATACTTTCAATTAAAGAAAAAGCACTTAATTTGGTTCTATTCAGTGGGGAGCTACGTTGTCACAGGCAGACACGCACATACACATGTTAAACATCCCTCTTTTTCGGGTTAGGGTTATTTTTTTCAAGTACGGCGGCTCGAGCGACAAAAAAACGAAGTTGTTAAACGAAAACTCGGCAAGAACACGCCAGGCTGACTCATCTTTTCACTATATTTCCCATTAATTTCTCGGATACTCTTTTTTTCATTTTTGTCCTGAAATATTGATTTTTTTATTATTATGTGACGTTTCACGATGCAATAAGTTACAAACGCATACTAAACCGTCCCTTAGTCGATGAAGTTGATGAATACATCAACAAATGCAAAGAGTTGATACAAAAATCTATATCGGTGACAAAATAGTGAGAAAGTATTAGGTCTTATCACTTTTACTCCCCATTTCCATTTGATTAGGCCGTTAATATTTTTTTAAGATAACTCGTAGATATATGTTTTAGTGCCATGAAACATTGAGTTCCGCATTTTCTGAAATTTTTAACTTTTTAACTCCAAGGGTCGTGTCGTCAGTCGTAGAACGCCTTTATGGCCTCCTTGATTTCCATAGTTTTCTACTGTTCCGTGTCAGAGCTCAATTTTGATGTTATGTTACAAATATCTATTTGCATCAAATTGTTAATGCTTTTGATTTACATCTACCAGCCTTTCTGAAGAAGAGAAAAGACTATGTAAATCATGGAGGCCATAAAGGCGTCCTACAATCGTAGGGACGACTGACGATACGGCCCTAACACTTCTTATCTTAATCGAAAGACTTTCAAAAAGTGCTCGACTGAAAAATTAGTTCAATAGACTGGCCACTTTCTCGCGTATGGGACATTTTGGCTCTTATTCCGTGCACTCTGACAAATGTGGATAGTTATGGAAAAAGTCTGTGATTGTTTCCAAACGCAGCCACCAATTTCTATCTAATGAGTGTAGGACTAACATTGAAGATTAATATTCCAAAAAAAAGTAAACCGTTGCATCAGGATCTTGTAGAGGAGTATTAAGGACTTGAATCAGTATAGTACTTTTTGTTTACATTTCAACGCCTTGAAAAGGAAAGGAAATAATGTTTTTCACACAACTGTCACTTCCAGATCAAACTTACTATGTTCAAAGTGACCAAAAGAATCTAAACAAAAAAGAGAAATTGAAATGATCGGTTTCGAGTGAGTGACTTTTTGGTGCTTACCTTCTAGTTCCTCGCGGAGATTTTGTGGAAAACTGTAATGGAAATATTTTTCCAATACGAGTAGAGCAGCTTTCTTTACTTTGTATAACTACTTAGTACAGTGAAAAATTAAACTTTTATATTTTTGAGGAAATTACTAGACCGCAGAAATAAGAAATCAATTAATAATGATAATAATAGCGTTTATTTGCAAAGCAAACAAAATTCAAAGAGAAAAAATTAAAAATGAAGAAACAACATGAATTCCCTGCAAAATGGACTAGTAAACAGACAAGCTGATCAAAGTACTAGCCTACTAGCCCAACAAACAAAATTACAACAGATGAGTTCTTAACCAAATTATATAAGTTAATATTAATAATTAATAAATAATAATTACAAACGTCAAAAAAATATATGTACATATATAAAGAAATTATATAAAAAATATAATTTAACGAAAAAGGTCAAATCATTTTAGGCAGATTTAACAAACAAATAAAACATTTAGAATATAAAAAGTGAAGGAACAATATAAACACTACAATAATTCATCTAATAGAACTTTTCTGTAACTTCTTTTGAAAGCTGACACAGACATATACTTAAGGTTTGTGGGAACGTGATTGTGTAAGTGGTAGATAAAATGAGAAAAACATCTGTTAAACATAGATGTACGATGACGTGGTTGGGAAATCAGCTTCCGATACCGAACATTGATATTGTGAACATGACTGTAATCTTATTATATAAATAAGGCGGAGTTTTATAGAGTATAATTTTATCAAACAAAACTGCAGAGTGCAGATTACTCCTAGCTTCCATATTTAGCCATCCTATTACAGGTAACTTATAAGAAATATGTCCAAAAATAAACCTAAGACAAGAGATTTGGACACGCTGTATACGATCAACATCATACCTTGTTATACAAGGCCCATAAACTGAGTTGCAGTAATTGAATAATGACAGAACAAGCGTATCACAAAGCAAGGCCTTAAGTTTAAGCCGACCATAAGCACGGCTAATGCACTTATCAACATGCTTTGAAAACCTCAGGTCGCTATCCATAATCAAGCCTAAATTCCTAGTAGCGGATGTATGATGAATAACATTATTATTTTACTTTATATTCTGTACTTTGAAGAAGTTGCTGGATAAGGTTTAACGTCAACAAAGCAGTTTGAAGTGTGCTGGTGTTTTTTAAATTTTTTTGGATCATATCAATTGCCAGAGAAAAGCAATAGCATATCCATGTCCACTGCTTTTTTTTTTCTTCCAAACTACTCATCTTAACTCCAAAATGGCACTTCGAAATCAAATTCCTTTAAACCTTTCAAAAAATCACCTTCCTTTAAAGCTTTCTAGGTAACCTCTTTTTTGCCACCAAATGATTATAGTATCGATCATTCAGATACAGAATATGTAATTTGCTTTTTATTCTAGGAACAAGACGACCCCTCAGCTTACGCGACCCCATCTTACATGGACCCGTCAGCTATCGGCGCTGTCCTGAACAACGTCAACATAACAGTCAAAGCATTGTACGACTACAGAGCCACAAGGCCTGACGAACTGTCGTTCTGCAAGCACGCTGTCATCACGAATGTGTGCAAGCAGACAAACAGCCCGGGGTGGTGGAAGGGTGACTACGGGGGTGCCAGACAGCTGTACTTCCCACAGAACTACGTCAAGGAGATCCCGACGCAGCCTATGTTAGGGGTGGGAAGCGCTGAAGGCAGTAATAGCGACGATGGGGTAAGTACTTGAGAGAAATAGAACCACTTGAGCAGTATCGTCAACTTCAAATTCAAAATACCTATTGGGACACCCTTTATTGTGATCATCGATAAACGTATTCTACTTGAAGATAGCCAATCTAATCATGTACGTATATCGGCGTCCGAAAAATGATGTGAGAATTAAGGAGTTAACATAGCGCCATCTATGAGAATTTGTGCTTTGAAAAAGGTGGTTACATCGCCATCAATGAGGTCGTAACTTTTTCAAAGTAGATTTCCAATTATTGCGGAGAGGTGAAACATAGCTGACAAATTTTCATAGATGACGCCATTTTAACTCATTTCATCTTTGGATAATTTTTTGATGCCTGCGTGTAGTATTACGCTGGCTATCTTTAATCAATGGTTTGATCAAACACAGGGTGGTAGGTAAGCTAATAGACTTGATTGTGGAGGAGAATTGCAAGGTTTATACATTGTGGCGCAAAATGATTGTTATGGTTTGATTTTTTTATAATTTAATTATCTTTCAATATTATATTGTTTCATCGCAAGAGTGAGTAAAGGAGGCCTGGAGAATTTAGTATGGGGCAAAACACAACAGAGCAACGAATCAAGATCATAGAATTTTATTTTAAAAATCAACGGTCCGTTGTGTTAATGCAGCTTGTATTTCGTCTCTACTTTAATGTGCGGAATGGACCCTCAGTGCTAGAAGACGACGCACGGTGCAAACTAATGGAAATATTGAACGTATACGTGAAGGTTTTCAGGAAAGTCCAGAAACCTCAACAAGGAGACGTTCGACAGAACTTGGATCATCACGACGGTCACTGAAAAGAATTTTTCATACATAACTTAATAATTAGCGATGAAGTCCATTTACAATTAAATGATTTCATCAACAAGCAAAAGTACAGGACAACGGCTACGTAGAATCTAAGAGCAGTTCATCAGCGACCATTAGTTAAGTTTGGTGCAGTATATCGTCCGCTAGGATCGTTGGTCCATATTTTTTTTAGTGTCGACGCAGCCTCCATCACTGGTGCTCAACATCAAATGATGCTTCAAAACTTTTTGATGCCAGCTGTCCAAATCTTTGGTTCCAACAAGATCGATCTACAGCACATACGTCATGCGAGTCAATGGCTCTGTTAAGGGACATTTTTGAGGATCGCATATTTCGTGCAGATCCGATTTCAATTGGCCTCCACGTAGACCGGACTTAACTGCTTCTGACTTCTTCCTTTGGGGATATTTGTAAGATCCTGTTTATGTCAATAAACTCAGAACCATAACTCAGTTGAATAACAATATTCGTAACGAAATAGCGGCGATAAGACCCGAAGTCTGTCGAAATTAAATATAAATAACTTACAAACTTACATCACTACGGATTTAAAGGATCTGTATTCAAAATTCTACAAAACTATTTAATTGACAGAAGTCAAAAAATCAAAACTGGATCTACATTATCAAGATAAAAAAATATTTCTGTTGGTATACCACAAGGTAGTAAACTAGGTCCTCTACTATTTATTTTATACATTAATGACATTTGTAATATTTTAGATTATTGTAAAATTCAGATATTTGCAGATGGTACATTAATATACATACGAGGGATATCTTTTAAGTTTTGCATATAGAAACATAGTAGGCCTCGCGGATCGAACGTCAGTACTAAATCTTAACATCACTCTTTAGTAAACTTAAATTCAGGGTTTCACAACAATACGTGCAGTGTTCTCACTATAGTGAATTTTTAAGTGTCACCAAGTCATTAGAAAAATGGAACATTTTCTCGCCATAATTTATTACAACTTTCAGAGACAATTATCGCAACAAGAATGCGTTGCTGAGTTACTGTCTGTTTTCGGCAACGAAGCGCCACATCAGTCGACAATTTCCCGTTGTTATGGAGAATTCAAACGTGGACGGGTGAGTCTTAGCGGCGATCCCAGGCTGGGTGCACCAAAAACGGCAGTCACCCAGGAAAACGTCGGTGCTGTGCGCAAACTCATTATTGAAGATAGACATGTGACATATCGCGAGATTGAGGCGTCCTTGAAGATCTCAAAGACCTCAATTCAAAAATATTTACATTAAGAATTAGGAGTAAGAAAATTATTTTCTTCTGACTGAAGAGCAGAAAGCAGTCAGGGTTAATTGGTGTCAAAAAACGCTTGACTGTTTCAATTCCGGAAACTCAAAAAATGTGTACAGCATTGTTAGTGGTGATGAATCGTGGATTTACTGTTATGAACCAGAAAATAAACGACAGTCGGCTGTTTGGGTGTTCCAAGGTAAAGAAAAGCTAACAAAAGACATCCGTTCTCGAAGTGTTTCGAAAAAGATGGTCGCGACATTTGTGTCAAAAGCGGGTAATATTGCAACAATTCCTATTAATGAGCAAAGAACTGTTACTGCGGATTGGTATACCACGATTTGTTTGCCAAAAGCCATCACCGAGCTTCGAAAAATCAACCCGGAAAGAATATTCATCCTCCACCAAGACAATGCAAGCTCGCATACAGCCAAAAGAACAAGGCAGTATTTAACGGAAGTAAACGTGGAATTATTTGACCATCCTCCATATAGTCCCGATCTAAGTCCTAACGATTTCTTTTCTTTCCCGAAAATTAAAAACAGACTGCGTGGTCAAAGGTTCCAGTCACCAGAAGAAGCAGTTGACGCATTCAAAAATACCGTTTTGGATCTTTCAGCAAACGAGTGGAATAAGTGCTTCGAAAATTGGTTCGAGCGCATGCAGATGTGTATTAATCTTCGTGGAGAATACTTCGAAAAACAATAAAGTCATTTAAAACTACCTACCGTGTTGTTTTATTTCCATATGCAAAACTTAAAAGACATCCGTCGTATCAGATGAAAATATAGACACTGCATTAAAAATGCTAAATTCTGACTTGGCTAAAATCATACATTGATTAAATGTAAATAAACTAAAATTGAATAAAACAAAATGTATGCTAATAGGGAAATATCTAAATGAAAATACTATCACAGTTAGAATAAATGATGACATAATTGAAAATGTTGGATCAATTAAATATTTAGGTATATATATATGTATACTCGTATATATATATTGATAGTAAACTAAAGTTTGTGGATCACTATGAATACATGACTTCCAAAAAAAAAAATACTTTTATAGGGCTTCTCAGTCTTGGTACATATTCCAAGCAAAAAGGTGTACAATACAAATATTCTAGCGCATTTACTATATTGTCTATCTATCTTGTTCACTGCCAAAGAAGCAGTATTCTCAAAATTACAAATCCTGCAACATAAAGCTATGAGAATAATATTGAATAAAAATAAGTACACCAAAATAAAATCTATGTTGCAAGAATTGCAGTGGTTGAATATAACAAATTTTATATATTTGGTTCTTCTTTTTATATTTGAAATAAAAAATCATCTTTTGTCACAACATTTAGAACACTACATAGAATTGAATAATCACTACCACAATTATTATACAAGAGGAAATATTGATTTTCATTTACAAAATTGCAATAGTAATATAACTAGCTAATCAATATTTCAGAAAGGATAACTTAAATTTAATAAACCAAATAATGAAATAAAGTCTACTTGTAATTTAAAGATGTTCAAAAGAAAATTAAAGGAATATTTCGTGGACAGTGAAAATTCTAAGAGATGCAAATTTTGTTTTGTTTGTGCTGAATAAATCTTAAACAAAAAAGATGATGGAAAATGTTCTGGAAAGAGCATGAATATGTGAAGCCGAAAATGGCCACCACTTACGAGATATTATCTTTCATACCTAATTCTCCATTAGTACAGCATATTTGAAAAAATGTTTCATTTCAATTACTGCTCGAATAAAAAAGTTATGAAGAATTTAAATCATGACGTTCATTTTGCGCCACCCTGTAGAAGGAATAAATTTACAGCGAGTGAGAAAAATAATGATCTCATTGTCAAATAGCGGGGAAATGATTCGATTACAGAATTTTAGGAAAATATCTTGCACTTGCAGTTTTAATTTGATACTGAATTAATATTTCACCGTTTTAGACGGGCGAATCGGTACTGCAAGGCTGCATGGACATGAACGGCGCTGTCGTTGATTGTGTGCACAATACGACAGACAGACAAGGCATGGAATGGATAGTTAGGATAGTACCGTCAACAGCTTGTACTACTTTTGAATGTGGTATTCAGACTCAGGATTTAGTAAGTATTTAAACTATGACCTACCAACGTCGAGTGTTAACATATGTTGCCATTTATTTTTAGGCTTTAGAATGGTATTCCGCCCTTCAAGACGTAACGCAAAGGGCATGTAGGTTAGAAACGCAATACAGAGAGATGGAACGGACGTTTAAGATAGCAAAGGAGATGTCGAATCTCATCATTTACTTCAGATGCATTACCTTTAATTTAGATAGAGCAAAACAGCAGGAATTCACCTTTTACGAAATGTCTTCCTTTTCTGAAAATAAGGCTGAAAAACTGATTTATCAAACCGAACGAAAACTATTTTTGAGGTATCATCAAGTACAGTTCTCGAGAGTATATCCCAAAGGTAAGCGTCACCATCATTTCTGAGCAAAGTGCAAAAATATTCAACTGACCACAATTTAACAATTAATCGAGATAAAACGCAAATATTACTATTTTGCTCAGAAGCAAAGAGAAGAAATTTGGAAAATTCATTTAAAGTGCATCTAAATGGTTGGTTCACTGTTACAACTAACACATTCAGCTAAGATTTTAGAGGTTGAAGTAGACATCAAATTAAGATTTATGGGCCATGCCATGTCACTAACTAAAAAGACATATGCCAGAATGAGAGCATTGTTTGCCAATCGCCATCTTCTAAATTATAAATTAAGGAAAAAATTGTGCGATTCTCTTGTTTTGTCAATCTTAAATTATTGCGATATTCTGTACTATCCATGTTCATGAAGAACCAGCTGAAAATTATTCAAAATAATTGCATCCGTTTTATCCATGAGCTGAGAAAATTTGACCATGTTATGCGATAAGTACCATCGTATGAAATGGCTAAAAATTGGCAAGCTAGTTCAGCACAAGTACTTAATATTTTTGCACAAGTTGATAGCTACGTCAAGGCCCGCTTATTTGAGAGATATGATTATATTTAGTCATGAAGTTCATAGCAGGAGCATAAGAGACCGTAAAATAATCAGAATACCGCCTCACTCTATGACACTTTTCAAGCGTTGTTTTTCGTACAATGCTTTGCCAGGTAAATACAAGGAAATGTCTTCTGCCAATTTCCGTAAACAAATAAAACAATTTGTATTTACCCTTACCTGATATGGGTTTAGTATCTTTTCTTATGTATACAGGGTGTTTCAGAACTATGGGATCTAACTTGTTATTCAGTGCAACAGTAGAAAACATTTGAGTATGGGGACCCATATCCGGCGCTTGTGTGTTGTTAACTTTAAAAACGATAACAGAGATTGTTTTTTGTAGCTGCATTCCATATCGCCTTAGTCGTGCTATCGTATTTGTGAAGTTTGCAGGAATTTAACAAAAATTAATTGTTGCTAATAGAAAACTTTACCAATCAAGAATTGGCGGATATGCATTTGGCATACGGAGCAACAAGCTACAATGCACGAGCCTATATCAAGAACGTTATCCCGAACGACAGCATCACAGCATACAAAAAGTTTATTGCTATTCATCTGCGGCTCTCCGAGACAGGCATGTTTAAAACCAACATGCATGATACTGGTGTTGCTCGAACCGTAAGATCGGTCGAATTTCAAGAAGAAGTCCTTCAGCGAGTTGCCGACGAACCATCAAGTAGCACAAGTCACATTGCTGAGGATATGAATACGAGTAACGCTTCCGTCTGGCGGGTGCTACACGAACAACAACTTTATCCTTACCACTTCCAGAAAGTTCAAGGATTGTCTGCAGCCGATTATCATCCTAGAGTTCAATTTCGTCAATGGCTTCTTCATCACATCGCTGCACAACCAAATTTTTCACGCTATGTTTTATGGACCGACGAAGCCTCTTTCACAAGAGACGGTATTTTTAATAGTAGGAATAGCCACGTTTGGGACAAAGAAAATCCCCATGCAATTTTTCCTAGAAAACATCAGCAACGTTGGTTTGTCAACGTATGGGCAGGCATTGTTGATGATTATTGGATTGGGCCATACCTTCTACTGGAACGTTTAACAGGACCTATTTACCGGCGTTTCTTGGAGGAAGTTCTCCCAGAACTTCTTGAAAATGTTCCATTGAACGTTCGACAGCAAATGTGGTTTCAGGATGATGGAGTGCCGTTCAAGTACGTGAGTATTTGGCTCAGCGGTTTGGGCGCCGTTGGATTGCCAGAGGTGGAGAAGTTTCTTGGCCTCCTAAATCACCCGATTTAACGTCGCTAGATTTTTTCCTGTGGGGACATGTAAAGTCTTTGATTCACGAAACTCCAGTAGAAACAGAGCAATACTTAATTGGACGAATTACAGCAGCATTTGTAATCATTCAAAACGAGTATAAAATTTTTTGTCAAGTCCGCCGATGTTTAAATCGGTGTATTCAGGTTGGAGGAAGACATTTTGAACAATTGTTGTGATGATATCGTGTACAAAAGGCAATTTATCGTCTTTCTAAATTTTGACGCGTCTTGGGCCGTAGTGCCGTAGTGACACTTTTCCGGATATGGGTCCCTGTACTCAAATATTTTCTACTGTTACACTGAGTAACCCCTAGAAGTTTGATCCCTTAGTTTTGAAACACCCTGTATATATGTATCTAAATATTATGTGTGTATGGATGTACGTTATATATACGTATATAAGTGTGTGTATATGTATGTGTGTGTATATGTATGTGTGTGTATATGTATGTGTGTATATATATATATATATATGTATACATATATGTATACATCGTATATTTATATTTGGGTATCCATGTACATACTGTATATAGTTGTGGTTTATAGTATAGTTTAGTTATAACTGTAATTTTTTTTTTGATGACATGTTAGGCAACGCACATTACATCGTGCTCTAAATGTACTGACAAAGATATTTAAGTGTAATAGTAGCCTAGGCTAAACTTCGCTATCTTTGTCCCTCACATGTACAACAAATAAAGGCGTTATTATTATTATTATTATTTTATGATTGCATGATGATGACAAAACTGTGTTTCATATCCAGGTCAGAGGATAGATTCCTCAAACTATAATCCAATCAATCTATGGAACGTTGGGTCCCAAATGTTGGCACTAAATTTCCAAACTGGAGATAAACCGATGCAGTTGAATCAAGCAAAATTTAGGGACAACGGGGCCTGCGGGTATCTCTTGAAACCAGACTTCATGTTTCGCGAAGACTTTGATCCGTGTGACAAAAGTTGTCTTGTCGGCGTTGAGCCTTACGTGATATCTGTCAAAGTTATAGCTGGAAGACATCTGTGTCGGTAAGTTTTATTGGACGCTCAGGTCACGAGTAGATTTGATGTAATTTCAATTTTTCAGGTCTAAGAAGGGTGTAGCTAGTCCCTTTGTAGAAATAGAAGTACTTGGGGCTCCGTTCGATGCCGGTGTGAAGCTAGTAACAAAAAGAATTTTAGATAACGGCTTCAATCCAAAATGGAATGATGAGTTCTGCGAGTTCACGGTTTACAATCCATATTTTTCCCTGTTGAGGTTCGTAGTACAGGATGAAGACGTGTTTGGAGAGCCGAATTTCATTGGTCAAGCTACTTACCCTGTAAGTTTGGTTTGTTTTTCTTTTTACTTCCTGCGGCAGCTGGCGAGGCAGTATTATAATCACGAAAAAATTAAGATTGTTTCTTAGATGTTACATGGCATATTCAGCGTGTTTCACAACTTATCCGACAAATTTTAACCACATATGCACTGTTACAAAAGAAGTTGATTTCTCAAAAAAAAAAAATGTAATAAAAGTTATACACCTGAGTTTCAATAATAAATTGAAAAATAAATATCTGTATTTTGCGTTCATCGTCGTGATATTAGAAGACGCATTGATAATTTATTGTAGCAAACGTTGTACCAAACAACTGACGGAAACAAAATACCAGGAATTTTTTGCTTTTTCATACTTTTAAGAACGTGTAAATAAGGTTTAATCTGTATCGTGGGTGATTTGAATGAAGAACGGTCGATTTTTGTGAATTTAAATAAGAAAGTATTTTGCGAGTTTATGTATGTAGTTATTTATTAATAAAAATGGCACATGTGTACACTAATGAGGAGTTAGTGGACATTGTTTTAGCGTACGGATATTGTGGAAGAAAATTCGGGAATAAGCACAAGGCAGTTAGCCGAACAGGTCCCAGAAGTGTCACATGCAACAGGGTGGCGCATATTACATAAGGCCCAACTGTACCTTTATCACGTCCAGAGAGTCCATGCGTTACTACCTACAGACTACCCCCTAAGAGTAAGATTTTGTTAGTGGTTGTTGCAAGAAAATGCTCGAAATGCCCGTTTTACAGCTGATATTTCGGCCACCGATGAAGCTATTTCTATCGTAATAGGGAACCAATCTTCATAATACACACGTTTGGTCCTTTGAGAATCCTCACGCAGTGGTCCAGACACACTTCCAAAAACGTTTTTCTTTAAACGTATTAGCAGGTATTGTCGATGAACGTCTAATTGGACCGTTCATATTGCTAGATAGGATGGATGGTCACCAGTATTTGGAATTTCTTCGGAATGATTTGCCGGTCCTTCTTGAAGATGTGCCATTGGCGGTCCGAGCACGGATGTGGTTTCTGCACGGTGGGGCAACTCCGCATTTTCGTTTAGTAGTTCGTGATTTTTTGAATCGGAAGGGGTGGACCAATTGCATGGCCGTGGAGGTTTCCCGATCTAAATTTCTTTTTATGGGGATACTTGAAAAACAGGTATACCGTACTCCAGTTCAGAATATTGAAGAATTGCTTTACGGAATCACAGTGGCTGCCGATAATTTGAGCCTTCAGGCGCAGGAGGAAGGAGGTGTATTTGAATTAGTGCGCCGAAATTGGATTAGACGCGCCCAAGCTTGCATTGCAGTTAATGGAAACAATTTTGAACAGCTTTTATAAGTGAGCTGTTAAACTGTATTAGTTTATTATCTCGGTTTCTGTAGGACTTTTATTACATTTTTTTTTTCTGAGAAATCAACTTCTTTCGTAACAGTGCATATGTGGTTAAAATTTGTCGGATAAGTTGTGAAACACCCTGTAGATCACGAAAAACCATGTCACTCATTTTTGTCAGTCTGTCTGTCTGTCCACTGATACTTGACCTTCTATAACTTAGAAAATAATACTCGGATTTTGATAAAATTTTCATACAATATTACTACTAAGCCTAGGACGAAAAAGCCTTGTGGTTCAGTAGCGTGGGAGCGAAGGGCAAAAAACGTAGGGGTTAAACATTGGGAGTTGGGGGTTATAGGCGGGGGAGAGTATGTCTCAATTTTTTAGCGGTAGTATATTCATACGCTTCCAGTCCCTCTAATTCTGCTCACCTATTAGTACAAATGTCATACAAGGTCTGTAATGATGATACTGAATTTTTCTTAATTTCTTTATTCAAATGTAATTACAATTTTATATTGTCACCCTCCAAATAACTTCCTTCTAAAGCCGCACAGCGCTGGAGATAGTTCTTCCACTCCTCATAGCAGTGTTGGAACTCCGATACTGGAACAGCTGGTCGGTTACAGCCATTTGAATGTTCTCGACTGTCCCAAAATGAGTTCCCTTGGGGTAAGTTTTGATCTTCGGGAAGAAAAAAAAGTCGCAAGACTAAGACAGGCGAATAAGGAGGCTGTTTTCAATGGCCGAAAACTCGTTTATTGACAAGGAGCATTATCGTGCAACACCCAGTTCTTCTTGATCTGATGAACGGTGGTGCGAGTCAAATTTAACACTTCCCCGATCATTCCGACTATCATCCGACGATCTTGACGGACAAGATCCCGATTCTGTCGATATATTCATTCGTTCTTGAAGATGAAGGTCTTCCGTTTCGTGGTTCATCTTCAATCGACTCTCTCCCTTCTGAAAATGACATAAATCACCGAAAAAACTGGGCTCTTGAGAAAACACTATCTGTGCAGGCCTGCTGAAGTTTAGTAAGAGTTTCCGTTGCACTGCGCCCAAGTTTGAAGCAAAACCTGATAATACCTGTTTCACAAAAAAAGTCGCTACGGACAGCCATATCACTCGAACGAGTTCAAACTTGTACTGATGGCGGATCACATGTTCCCCTGTCTCTCCGGCAAGCCCAGTGCATCCAGCGTTGTCAGATCGAACGCTACGTTGCCAGTGTCATTACGTAATTTACAGACCTAGTACATCATAGACTAGCATAAATTTTGAGAAACCTACTTGGCGGCATATTTTTAACAGACTTATTTTCAGATTACGTGTCTGCGAACAGGGTACAGAAGTGTGTGGTTGAAAAATTCGTACAGTGAAGATTTAGAATTAGCATCCCTCCTAATTCATATCAGCGTAAGAAAAGGATCTGTTAGTTAACAAATACCACATATCGAAAAAAAGAAAAAATGGAAGAAAGCTTTATTATGAAATATAGGTAAAAATGAATCAAACTGTTCAGTTCCTGTAATGTCGTTGATCGAAATATGAATCAATCTGCTGTAAGTTCGGATGAAGAAGAATCTTTGCAGTTTTTTTAATCAACTATGAATTCAGTGTATGAACAATGAGCTACTAGGTCTTGAAAAATTAATTTTTCTACGTTTCTCAGCTTCCTGATTAGTTTAGAGCGTATTTTAGAATAGAATATACGTACCATTCAACTTACATGTAGCAAGATGATACCAGTGATTAACATATTTCACCAGAAGACACCCAATCCAGTTGAAGATCGTGCCTGTGCGAAAATAAGCATTATGTACCGCACTGTCAATCACTTATTATTTTAACTATATACATATCGACCACCGCCTGGTGGTAATAACTTTCACCTCTGAGACTGTTGCAGGTTTTGGTATTACATTTTCCATCAGTGGGAAATTCTGAGACATCGAAACCTTAGGAAGGCTCAGGGGTAATCTCTCCTTGCAAGTTTGATGCCATGCTTAAGAATAAGCAGTTTTCTTTAAAAGGAAAATGAAGTTCCTTTTTATTGCTTCTAAGGGGATTACTGCCATCTTTTGGCTGTGACGATGGAAATCCAAATACAGCTTAGGGTTGAACGTTTTGGAAAATACGTTAATCATTGATAATATTTTATTTGTAAAAGTTGCTAGCAGAAAGTTGTATGGAAAAGATTATTTTCTCGTGCAATTACTTTCAACGGGAAGCGCTTTTCGGAAACGAAGTATTTTGGTTAGGACAGAGTCAATATATCATACAGTATCGGCAGAGAATCATTGATCTCCCGTGTTTAAAAGAGGGCTGGCTGGATGATGTCAAATACATCGTCAATTATCGGTCAAATACGCAATTTGAGATAATTTGAATCTAAAGCATATTATTTATCATTTGTTACTAAGCTAAATCGATTAAAAATGTCTCAAAAAGAGCGCCTGATTTAATGTTCAAGAAAAACACAATTTCTCTTCTAATTAAGCGAATATTTATATTTCAACATGAAGAGGAATAGTTGCGATTAAACATGAAATAGGACATCCAGTAAATGGCCACCACGAAACCTCTGGCGCAGGGTCAGTCTGCTTATAATTCTGGATAACGTTTTCGCACAACTGTGGCTCTGTTTCGTCGATAACGCGCCGTATCCTTTCTTTAAGGCGTTCAACTGTTTGTGGCTTGTTTGCATACACCTTTTCCTTCACATAGCCCCAGAGGAAGAAGTCCATTGGCGTTAGATCGCACGATCTTGGTGGCCAATTTTGATCGCCAAACCGAGAGATGACACTGTCTGTAAACTTGGTCCACAGTAACACCATTGTTACGCGTGCTGTGTGGCAAGTCGCACGGGGTTGTTGTAAGAACACATCCTCCACATCAATTCGATCCAACTGGGGCCACAAAAATTCGGTTAACGTTTCGCGATACCGCACTCCATCAACAGTTACCGCAGTTTCAGCTGCATTTTCTAAGAAATACGGTCCAGTCACTCCGCCACTCCACAATGCGCACGAAACGGTAACTCGCGGCGGATGCATTGGTTGTTCGATTGTTACACGAGGGTTTTTAGAACCCCAAATTCGGCAGTTCTGCTTATTGACGTATCCGTTCAGTTGAAAATGTGTCTCATCAGAGAAAATGATTTTCTTCGAGAAATCCGCATCAATTTGGTGGTGCTTCAGCGCCCAATCAACGTATTCACGGCGCTGCGCATGGTCCGTTGGCTTGAGTTCTTGCGTCAGTTGAACCTTGTACGCATGCAAGAACAGATCTTTTAGCAAAATTCGTTGCAGAGTGGGTCTGCTAAGGTTCAATTCTTGGCCACGTTGCCGAATGGAAGTGCTTGGATTCTCAGCCATACTTTCCCACACTGCGACTATATTTCCGCGGGACCAACCAGGACGGCGGCGAACAGTGGTCTTCACATTCAGCAACGTCAATTTTGTAATTAAACGGCGATCTGGCGACTCATTTGGCGCATTATTGCGACCGAAAATTGTACCAAATTTGCGCGTAATTTTCTCAGTAGTGAGTTGTAGTGAGTTTTCTCAATAATTAAACGTTACTCGTTTGAATACAGCTCCATGACGTCTAATCGCGTGATCTGGACATGACAGCTGTCATCAAGTAAACACCATACCATTTGTACAAAAAAATGGCAAATTTAAATCCGGCGCTCTTGTTGAAGCATCCTTTATAATAGTAATAAGTAATATTCCGGATAGTGCCCTAAAAGTCAAAGAGCTATGGAACTATATACAGGTTTTTAGAATAACTTCTGTTTTCATAAAGCTGATAGCACCCGCGAAAAAAGAGATTTATATATTTATATATACCTTAGGAAAACAGAATTTATTCTCGAAACCTTTATGTCATCCTATAGCTATTTAACTTTTAGCGTTCTACGCGGAATATTACACAGCTTAGTTTAGTAAAAGAAGCGTCAAGCGTCGGTGCATTTGACATGGTTGCCAGTTACCTAGACAGCCACCCCTTAACGGGTAGTAGCGAGATAGAGAGACACGTATGTTATAGCATGAAGGCGAATAAGCGTCCAAAAAATCATTGTCATGTTTCTCTCTCTATCTCTTTCATACACATAAAATAGCAGACCTCAATGATTCTTTGGCAATCCTGCATGTAGTTTTTCGCACTGTTTTTAGCGGTTATGTCATCAATTCCATACACAATAAGTAAGCAAATGGAGTAATAAGAACCACGTGCGGAGCAGCAGTTCCATAGAAAAACTGCACACTGGGTAACCCGATCTTAAACTCAGCTGCTCTGGCACAAATGCATTTGGTAATAAACGAGCATTGCTTGTTTTCTCTTTCTCAAAATATTATATCAATCCATAGTAAACTCAAAATAGTACGCCCATGTCAAGTGGGTTGTCACACTGACAGTGACAAGCATAGATTATTAATAACCATGGGTTGACTAGAAAAATTTCGAGGTGGGGAGGCGAAGCTGAAGAATATATCTTAGAGGGCACACAAACGTTCGCGAACAGAGGCAGTTTGCATATGTATGTATGAGGGAGCAGATGAATGTATAAAAGCGATGCCGTTAATGCTAGTGTTATTCGCCAAAAACCGTGAAAAGAACTATTGTTCGTGAATCGGGTCACAGTAAAACTGGCAGTATCATTTTCATATCTACATCTTCCTCTTAAATATCATCTACCTTTGAGTGTGGATCTTTTTTGTATAAGATCAGAGACATTCGTTTTTTCGTTTCGCCTCACCTCGTCGAAAATTTTGGCGTCACGTATTCTGCAGTTATTCTTGATACTGACATTGTGACAACATTCTTGTTATCAGCATGACAGCTCTTGTTGATCTTCGCAAGAAAATATAGTTTTCCCTGGAAATCCAATTATTGGCAATGCCGACAGTTTGTGCTAAAATTTGAGCATTACCAAAAAGCGAATTAAAAGAATGGCGCTTATTCCTCACTTCATGTGCGGAAGAATGATCAGCAGTTGTGTTGAAGTTCAGTTTGCATACTGTGCATTTTCCCTTAGGAAGAATAATCTACACCTATGACATTCTTAGTCAATCTGTCTTATTTTGCATGGCGTTGATGACGTATCAGTGGCGTAGCAAGGGGGGGGCATGCCGTACCGGGTGTCACATTTTTTGGGTGACACGCACCCGGTGGCTCAACTTTTTCAGAGTTGAACTCCCCAGACATGATCGAAGTCTCTTCAAGACCTAGCTTCATTGTTTCAGATCGAATAAACAAATACTTTGGTCTCAGGAACAGAATTTCTTTTGGAGATACCAAGACTGCGAAGACACTTAAAAGCAGCTAGTGTTACAGTTTTTGATTGGGTATCTCTAGATTTTTTGAAGTTTATTGTAGAATGGGATTTTACAATCTCTTCTAAATCTTAATGCACTAACATTGTTCAAGACGGTTTACATTAGGGATCGACCGATACCGATATATGATATTGGCGATATCGGCCTTTTTGACCGATATGCGTATCGGCCGATATGGCCGCCCATATGCCGATATAGGTTGGCCGATATAAAATAAGTTAACATTGTTGAATGAAACAGACAAAAGCTAGAAAAACATTCACTTCATTTAAATGAATTAAAGTAACATTTGTCTCTAACATATATCTATAAAAAACGAAACGTAACAGCCATATTCAGTCTTAATTTTTTTGAAAATTTAAGGAAAATGAGTAAATAAAAATTAAACATGAAAAATACTGCTTGATCTTTAAGAAAGGTGTAAATTAAGATAATTAATACTTAAAATTTAACTTAGGCAAATTGTGGTGCACAAATAATAAAGCTTCCGCCCTATCAGGTGTTAACCTGCTTCGTCTGGCATCATAAATGTTGCCTGCCTCAGAAAAAACTTGTTCACTCGCTACACTCCCAGCTGGTGCCGACAAATATATGGCAGCTAGTGGGAAAAGTTTGGCAAATCGCAATTTATTATCATTCCACCACTGAACAGGATTGTCAAATCTTGCAATCACTGGTAGATTGGTATACGCATTAATTTCCTTGTCTAGTGTATTTACTGATTGGTGCTCCCGTTTTCGTTGGGAATTTCCAGATGTCCCTTCACCTGCAAAATGTTCATACGTCTGCCAGAACATATCTCGTGAGGTATTCGGTGTTTCTGCAGTTGTCTCCTGTATTAGCATTTTTAATGGAATATCATCATCCTCACTTGCACTGTCAGCAACAGTTGTGCTTCCTCCCTCTAACTCACGAATTTTGTTTTTGAGTACTTCATACATCTGTTGCTTTTCTGTGCTGTCAAAAAAATTATTTTTGAAGCGTGGATCCAACAGAGTGGCCACTGTAAAGTATTCGTCACTAAAAATGTGGCTAAACCGCTTTTCTAATTTTTTTTTAAGGGCGCCTCTAAGTGCGTCTACACCACAAAATATATCTTTAGAGTTGTTGCTTAAATAAGAAATCAAAGTTTTTACCAAAGGAATTACTTCTGATAAACAGCATTCTCTTTTGCTTGCAAGATTTGTCAACTCTTCAAACGGTTGTAAAAGATTTATAACATCTTTTGTCAGCTCCCATTGCTGATAAGTTAAATCAGATAAATCTGGATAGTCCAGGATGTACATACTTATAGCTGTTTTTTGCTCAAGTAATCGTTCCAGCATGTAGTATGTCGAGTTCCATCTTGTTGTTATATCTTGGATAAGTCTTTTTGACGGGAGATTCATCTGATCTTGTATTTTCTTCAGTTTATCACAGGCAGTCGAAGAGTGATTAAAGTGAGATACAATTCTTCTTGCTTTGATGATAATATCTGTCACTGATCTTTGGCAATCAAGAGAATCTTTTATTGTCAATTGTAAAGTGTGAACAAAACAACTCTGGTATTTTATTCGTGCATCAGACAATCCTTTTTTCATATTTGCAGCGTTATCAGCAAGAATTATATGAATTTGGTCTTTGTCTAGCTTCCATTGCTCTAGTAAAAGTTTAACCATCTCGGATATATTGTGAGCTGTATGACTGCCTGGGAAACTCCTACATGCCAGAACGAATGATTCTCTATGGGTAGATACGTATTTATTCCAAAAATGAGCAGTCAAAGAAATAAAGGAGAAGTTGTTGTATTGGCAGGTCCATATATCTGATGTTAGTGACATTTTTCCAATCATTTGATCTATTTTCTTCTGCACGCACGCTTTGCATTGTTGAAATATATCAGGAATAACAGTTTCACGAAAATACTTATCTGATGGTATTTCATAAGAAGAGAATGCTTTTTTCAGTAAACGAGTGAAACCAATATCAGTAGTAAGGGAAAATGGTTGGTTGTCCACTGCTATCATCTCGCCAATCAGGTAATGGATTTCCTTTGACTTTGCTGAAGTCCCATTTATGAAGTCTCTCCAAAGCTGCTGAAATTTTTGGTTGATGGGATGGCCTATCGCTGTGATGCTTCGATGTAAATGGTTCAGAGTTTCTTCTTTCCTGCATCTTCGAACTTTCCAGATCCACAAATCCACCTATAAAATTTGATCTTTGTTATAATTGGATAATTATTTTGGATATAAAATTTAGAAACAACACCTAACTATGAAAAACATTACTCTTGAATAGACATACACATAAGTTTTGAACGAAAACTAGAAAACATTCTTACCTGGGTTATTTAAGGTCTGCATTTTTGAATACTCGTCTTTGTGATGTTTAGATAAATGATACTTCATATTTGAAGTGTTGGCTGTTTTCCCTCTGCCGCCCAAGGAAACCTGTTTTTTACATATCACGCATATAACACTATCAGATTCGTTAGTCCTCCGATCGGAAACTCTATCAAAATATTTCCAAAGAACGCTACTTTTCCTCATGTTTGACATTTTTTGTAGAGAGCTAAACCTGAAGCAACCAACGCCGTTCAAGCAAATATTATGACTTGCATAGACGTGCTTGTCGCCTACGTGCTTCGCCCAAGGTTACCGAACCGAAACACACCCGATGGTGCGCGGAAACAGACGAACGGCCGATAGGCCGATATGGCCGATATATCGGCCTGCGACATCGGTATCGGTGAAAATCCTATATCGGTCGATCCCTAGTTTGCATGTCCGTATCTTCATGTGAAAGGAGTTTCAATAAAATAAAATTAATAAAAATGACCCAATCGCGGTTTAGCAATCTTGGTACGCCACTGTAACGTATCCATTAGAAACGGCGTTTTTTATTGTTTTTTAATCAGAGTAAACGTCCATTGAATTTATATAATAGCGATGAGGTGTTACAAAATTTTGAAAACATCATATTCGTTGCTATACATATCGCTAGAGAAAAAACAATTATTAGTTGAGTGAAAACTGCATATCTGATAAAAGTTACATCCTAAGTAGTAGATATAGTATTGCTACATACAGTAACACGCAAAATAGACAATAAAACCTCAGTATTTATTTTTTGGAGGAGTTGTTTGAAGAATCACGTATAAAAGACAAAGATAGAGATTTAACGTATCGGGCTTCGCGAAAAGTGAGATATCGAACAAGCGAGTATTTTTTATGTGTTTACATGTTTATAATAAGAATATCTATACACACTAAAATTATTTTTTTAAATTATTTCATAGAGATCTAAGATATACATTTGTTTATGTAGTCTTCAGAAAATTAGTGTATGTATTTTCAATGTATCATTTTTGCTGTCTGTTTACAAGTATTATATTTTGTACAATATTTCACTATGGATACTGTAAACTTTAGCATCATAGTTCATAGTGTTGCCATATGCACTCCCTATGATCGTTGATCTATATAGTATTTATGGCAACATGCTGTATGTTCAATGTGGGAAAATACGTTTCCATATTTTTTAGATGTTGAGATTCGCAATTTCAAACGTTTGTGATTTTATATTAACTGTTTTTTATTAAACGGTCGTCGCGTATATGTACGAGTCGCAAGATAGGACAACGTTGTAATCCAAAAAGGGAAGTATTAAATGTACTTGCATTTTAAAAATAACAGATTGCATATCATGTTATAGTCATATCATTGTAATTTAAGATATAGTAAAGTTTAAATGTGTTGTTCATTTCAAGTTTAACTCCCGATCCTCAAACATATTGTAGGTATTAACCTATTCTACCTGAAGATAGCCAACCTTATGCTATATTCCCGCATCCAAAAAATTCTCAGTGATAAACCGAGATAACGTAGCGTCATCTATGAGAATTTGTCACAGTTGTTTCTCTATTTACTGTACATAGTTGACGTTAAGCCGGAAATATCGGAGAAATATTAAAAAAATGTAAGTCATGTATTTTTCAAATTACAGGCATAAAACGGAAAAACTGCACCCTGTGATGATCTTTTAGTTCCCTTTACTACAAATTTCAATTTTTTCTTAGACAGTGTGGTGGACATTACTATTCTACGTAGTGATAGCATGACATATGGTAACGCCACTTTTATTAATTCATGATTGTGTAGTGTCACCATGTCTGTGCGCACCATACAAGAATACGCGAACATGAACCTCATCTTTATCGTGACAGGTACCCAAATGCTGCTCGTCATCCCGATCACCAAGTTTTTGTAAATATGCACCGTTTACTCCCAGATGGCCGATTCTCAAATCAAGCACATGGTGAAGGATGACTTACGAGGACGTCGTACTAGTCGAAGAAGACCCAAGTACTTGTAGTAATAGGAAATATAAATCATCACAGGGTTTAGATTTTCCAATTTTTATATTTTTCTGATAAATATTGTGACTTGGCCTATCCTCTGTTTCCGGTTTGACGTCGACTTCTGGAACACCCTATATATGGTTTGGAAAGGTCTCATAGGTATTGTTGTCTATATGAGCATATACAAGTATACAAGTGGATACAGCGCCATTCATCTGTGAGACACTAATGTTCCAACTGAATAGAGAAACCCCTGTGACAAACTCTTAGATGACGCTACAGCATCTCATTTTATCTGGAATATTTTTTGTACGCGGGCATGTAGCATTAGGTTAGCTGTCTTCAAGTAGAATATGTTAGTCAATTGTAGAACACGTAATTTGATGAGTAATTTCAATTTCACAATGACATATATGAAGCTAATACAGGGCGCGCCCAGTAGGAAAATTCAATTTTTGATTTAATAAAAAAATACAAACTTAATGAAAAGAAAATATTTTCTTGAACATATTTTCGATGCATGTTACTGTTCTCATGTCGCTCATTAAATATTTCTGCTGTTCTATTAGCGCACTGATTATTTCCGAAAAATATTTCGATAATTTCAACTAGCACTGCTTTCTGTTTTAAGTAGTTTCCGGCACCAACAATCCACAGGGGACCTCCTAACTTACGTCACTCAGTTGTGGAGTAAACTCATCCAGTCTTATGGTGAGGCTCATATCGTTGCTCTTGACATCACGAAAGCGTTCGATCAGCTGTGGCACGCTGCCCTCTTAAGCAAACTTCCATCCTATGGCCTCCCAGAAAAGCTTTGCAGATGGGTGGCTGACTTTATCTCTGGCCGCAAGATATCCGGCGTAATTGACGGATTCTCCTCTTCATCCCACAACGTCAACGCGGGTGTTCCCCAGGGATCGGTCTTGGCTCCAACACTGTTTCTCTTACATATCAACGACCTCCTTTCCTGTACGATCAACCCAATCCACAGCTTCGCTGATGACAGTACTCTACATGCAGGAATTCAGAGTGACAAGCCGATCTCTGCGCTGAGCTGGAAAAAAAAAGACTAGCGACGACTTCTTCTCTGACAAGAGACCTGGAGGCTATCACTGCTTGGGGACGCAACAATCTTGTACAGTTCAATGCTTCCAAAACACAGTACTGTACTTTGACGAACAAAAAGCGTCCTAGCGCTCATCCAGTTTCGATGGACGGCCGAGTTCTACCAAAGAGCCATTCATTTCGGCTGGTCGGAGTCCAGATCACCGAGGACCTGATCTGGCACGAACACATCTCTTCAATAGCTGCAGCTGCTGGGAAAAAGCTAGGCTATTTGTTTAGGGCTAAGAAGTACTTTTCTCCGCATGACCTTCTCACTCTATACAAGGCCTAGCCTCGAGTATTGCTCACACATTTGGGGTGCTGCCGCCCCGACTCCATTGTCCATGCTCGATGCTGTCCAGAGGAGGGCGGTCCGACTGATCGATGACTCTTCTTTAACAGACAGTCTCGGGACTCTTTCGCACCGGCGGGCCGTCGGCGACCTAGCTCTTTTCTATCGCTACACCAACGGGCTTTGCTCCTCAGAGCTCTCTTCCATGATGGCACCGCGCGATGTGCCTGCCAGACAGACCCGCCTGACTTCGGCGTCCATCCTAACCGTGTCAAACTTCGTACGTCCAGAACTGGCCGATACGACCGCTCCTTTGTCCTGAGGGTGTCTAGATTGTGGAACAATCTACAAGGGGAAGCTTTTCCCAGTTCTACTAACCTTAGGCAGTTCAAGGGTCGTATTAACAAAATTTCTTTGGGATCATCATAGCAGCCGCGGTGTTCCGGCATTTAGGCTTCTGCCTGCGCGGCTGTTTCGATATAAAAAAAAACCAATCCACTTTTTCAATAGGTTCTTACTTGCGGTATTTCTTGGTTGGCGAATGTTTGTGTACAAAATTTCCGAAGGGCAGCTACGAATGAATCACCTCTCTTAAAGTAAGCCTCGATAGCAAAAGCACGTTGCGCTCCGGTCCAACGTTCCATTGTGACTATTTAACTCGCACGCCAAACGCGTCGATCAAGACCTCTGCCCACTTCCTCACGTATGCGGTTGCCGCGTAATTCAAATTTGAAATGTGCACTTTCCCACTGGAACCCTGTACCTTGAAATCGATCAAAAAAGGTGCTGATGGTTATGGGATTTATACGTTAGTATATTGCCTTCGAATTTGGCAAATACTATATCTCAGTTAGTTCACACGTGCATTGAATTTTCGGCATTTCCTTATTCTTGAAAAATTCCTCATATCACACAAATTCCAAAACATAACAGTCCCAATTAATTCAAGAATTTAAGGCAAATAAGTATTCCGTCCACACTTACTGAGATTATTGACATCCTTGAACGGCCAATTCGTGAATACTTAAAATCCAATAAAACACTTTCAGAACGCCAATCAGGATTCAGAAAAAGGTAACTACTGTGCTGCTGCCACTAAGGCCCGTATCGTCAGTCACCCTACAATTGTAGGGCGCGTTTATGGCCTCCTTGATTGTCATACTGCTTTCTCTCCTTCAAAAATTTCTAGATTGCACCTGTCCCGTGTCAGCGTCAGCGCTCTCCTATTGTGAAGATATGTTTTTTTAAGTTGTAGGAAATTTCAGGCTGATAAAACATGATACAAATCAAAAGCAAGCACAATTTGATGCAAATAGATGTTTGTGACATAACTTCAAAATAGAGCGCTGACACGGAGAAGTAGAAAACTATGACAATCAAGGAGGCCATAAAAGCGCCCTACAATTGTAGGGACGACTGACGATACGGGCCTAAAGATCACTGATGATGTCACGATAGGAGCAACTGTTAACAATGACTTAACCAGTTTGATCATGATTGCTCACGGGAATTTTTCTCAAAGAGGGCGGATCCTAGAAATTGAAAATGTGAAATCTTATTTCACAGTCTCATGGAAAAATGGCGGCAAAATGGAAGTTGTCGATTATTGGGATGCTATAAAAATTAGTTTATTCCAGTAGTCGCTGTCTGTTTACACGCTGCGGCTTCAGGCGTATTTTGGTTTGTTTAATTCCAAGAGTGGATAGTCTCTATGGTTAGACAGAAAAAGGTAGATTGATAACAACCATGCCCTTCCAGTAGTCCGACACTTGTCTGACCATTCTATTCTGACTAGTATGATGATCCAGTCAGCAGCCAATTTGACGTCAAAATATTAAAATGACATATTAAGATTGCTTTATCTCATAACTTTTGAATGTCTTCTGCATATGTAACAAGAATTCCACTTTCCTTTAAAGCTTATGTCACTCACTACACAACTGACAAAAATTGAGGAATCAAATGCTTCTGTTGCACTAATACTGTTGTCAATATTTCAACTGTGGATATAAGATTTTAATAAACTGTCACAGATTAGTTGATAAATCTGTTACTAATTACCAATAAGATTTGTCTGACTACTGGTAGTGTCCAGGTTATTGTCTCATTCACCCTACATGTCTATAAAATGTCTAGACTGTATGTGGACCACCACACCCTTTCTAATTAAATTGTGTCTAGATAATGGTTCTATTGGAATTTGCAGATGTTAAATTTTGTTACTAGAGACCTCAAATTTGTTATCTTTTTTTGTGTTCATATAATATGTAGGTAGAGTACTTTTCTTTGTAAATTTCAAGGTAGAGTAGAACATAATCATGTGAATTCTTGGAATATATTGTCTATCTGTATGGCATAATTCCAATCACGTGGATGATTATTGATGTTTTTAACAGAGTTTACACACTTTTCACAGTTCAACCCGAACTTAAACGCAACTTAAAGCGAGATTAGCGAGATGAAAGAAAACACTTGTTCACGCTTATGATGGTATATTGCAACTACACTGACATTACAGAGTGACATGCACATAGTGGACAAACACAGTAGTAACGACATATGACACTAGATGTCGCTACTTTGACCAATTTTAAATATATAACAGCTACAGTAAACTTTTGGTATACTTATTCACAACACTCCCACTTAACAAAAGTTTACTAATGGTTCTCTAAAACCTTTTAAAATATCTGTCATGCACAACTTAACTTAAACCTAAACCCTTTACAAACTTTGAATTCTTAACATTTTGTAATGGTTTCGTTAAAACATCTGCAACCATTTCGTTAGTAGGTGTATACATTAATTTCACTTTACCTTCTAACACAATATCTCGCAAGAAATGGTACCTTATATCTATGTGCTTTGACCTATCATGGAACATTGGATTGCTAGCAAGCTTCTGAGCACTTTGATTATCATTATGAATCTCAATACAATCCAATTTTCCAGTTAACTCGCTCAACAAATTCCTCAGATATATGGCCTCTTTTGCTGCCTCGCTTAGAGCCATATACTCTGCCTCAGTTGTCGACAAAGCAACAGTACGTTGTTTACAGCTTTTCCATGAAACTGAACCCCCTGAATATTTAAATACATAACCAGTAAATGACTTTCTGTCTTGCTTATTGGACCCCCAATCTGCATCTGCAAAACCTGTCAAATTTAAATTATCCTTAAAAAATTTCATAGACAAGCTCTTTGTACCCTTTAAATAACGAAGTAAACGCTTTGCAGATTGCCAATGAACTTTAGTGTATGAGTTATTATACTGACTTAATAAGCTCACAGCATGAGAAATATCAGGTCTGGTCATTACCGAAAGGTACATTAAACTTCCAATAAGCTCTTGATATGGAACTTTTGGATCACAAATTTCACCACTGATATCGCTCAAGTTGATACTACTGTCAAGCGGAGTACTTACTACTTTGCTATCTGACATACCAAAACGACATAAAAGTTCATTAATATACAATTCTTGATCAATTGACAAACAATTTTTCGAATAATCCCTAGTAATTCTTATACCTAAACATTGTTTTGCCTCTCCTAAATTCTTAATTTTAAACTTTGAGTTTAAATGACCTTCAAGAAACTTCATTTCATTGTCATCAGACGAAAAACAGAAAAAATCGTCAACATAGAGAGCAACAATGGTTAACAAATTACTGTTATTCCTTTTAATGTACAAACAAGGCTCATATTTGGACTTAGAATAACCAATTTTTGACAAAACTTGGTCGACTTTTTCGTTCCAAGCACGACTAGATTGTTTTAATCCATAAACTGCTTTCTTCAATCTATACACTTTATTTTCTTTATCTTTAATGACAAAACCTTCAGGTTGCTGCATAAATACATTTTCTTTCAGAATACCATTCAAGAAAGCTGTTTTCACATCCAAGTGTAAAATTTTTAGATCTAGCCTAACAGACAAAGCAAGCAATAAACGAAAAGTTGAGTGCCTTACCACTGGGGCGAAGGTTTCAACATAGTCCACACCCTCTCTCTGTGTGAAACCTTTAGCCACAAGCCTAGCTCTATACCGGTTATGGCTTTCATTATCACTCTTCACTTTATATACCCACTTGCACTGCACCACTGTACCAACTTCTGGCGGATCTACTAATTCCCAAGTGTCATTATCGATAAATGACTGTATTTCTTCTGACATAGCTTCTTTCCACTTCTGCCCATCTGGCCTTGAAAGAGCCTCAGTCACTGATGTAGGGATACTCGAGTCATAGACTTCACCCTTGCTGTTAACACCTCCAAAATATGTCACAAAATCTTGAAAATTCTTCTTCTTGATCTGTCTTTGGGATCTTCTTGGAGTTACTTGTTCACCATTATCAAACAAGTCATGGCACTGACCTTCAGGCACATATTCATCATCATCCGAGAAGTATACATCATCTTCAGAAGATTCATCATCTGAATACATGGGATTCTGCTCTCCCACTGAATCTGGAACTTCCCTTTGCTTATCTGGAACACTATCCGGCAACACTGTACTTGGAATTTCCAAACTTGGTTTCTCTATGATTGTTACATCACGGCTTACTATGACTTTCCTTGTTCTGGGGTTAAAACACCTATATCCTTTGGTAGTTTCATCGTACCCAACAAGCACATGCTTCACTGACTTCTCGTCCCACTTGTTCCTACTGACCTTCGGAACATGAACCATGGCGGTACTCCCATATACCCTAAGATGACTAAGATTTGGTTTCTTACCTGTCCAAATCTCATATGGTGTCATTGAAAGCTTTGAACATGCTGAACGGTTTTTCAGGTAACAAGCAGTATTACACGCTTCCGCCCATAATGCCTTGGTCAAGCTCTCATCAAATAAAAGACACTTAGCCTTCTCCACAATGGTCCGGTTGAACCTCTCAGCCATCCCATTTTGCTGCGGAGTGTGACTGCTCGAAGTCTGGTGTATGATGCCTGAATTCTTTAAAAAACTATCCATTTCTCTATTACAGAATTCCCCACCATTATCGCTTCGCAAAATCTTAATCTTAACATTCTGTTGATTCTCAACTAATGATTTAAATTGCTTAAACTTATCAAAAGTTTCATCTTTTGTCTTCAGGAAATATATAAAGCACATTCTGCTGTAATCATCTATAAATGTCAGGAAATATTTAGCTCCACCAATAGATGTTGTTTCCATAGGACCACAAATGTCGCTATGAATGACCTCTAGCAGTTGCTGTGCTCGACTGCCTTCTTTGGGAAAAGGTAAACGGGCTTGCTTGCCCCTACAGCATACCTCACAACTCCCAATGCTTGTACCATTACAGATAAGACCATCAACCAACTTGGCTGTCTTATTCAGGTAGCTGTCATTAATGTGACCTAAACGTTGATGCCATAAATTGCTACTTACAGCTTGAAAACACACTGGCTCCTCACAAACGTTCAACTTGTAAACGTTGTTATGTAGACTAGCAGTAGCTACTGATACACCAACTTTATTGTAAATATTGCATCCCTCTTCATGAAAACTTACTCTATTTCCATTATTGATTAACTGGCCTACTGATAATAAGTTAGTTGTTAAACCAGGAATATACTGTACACCTTCTAGTAAAATCTTGTGCTGTTCATTGGTCATTGTTTTGATCTCAACATCACCTGCACATTCCACAACAACTTTCGATTTGTTAGCCATTACAATATCAGGTAAGTCAGGCTTTCTCCTGTTTTTTAACCACTGGCTATTGGCAGTTAAATGCTTGCTGGCACCACTATCAACATACCAATCTGTGACCTTAAAATCACCTGTTGTAAACACGGCACTAAATCCTCCTTCAAGTCTGTTATTGTTAGGGCATTTTGACATAAAATGTCCTGTCTTTTTGCACTTGTAACACACAATATTACTCAGATCCTTTTTATTATGTCCATTTCCAAAACCACTGTTTGAACTTGACCTCGATTGAACCCCGAAATCATCTGTGTTTGTTGACATTCCCGCTTGGCTAGCACCAGCTGATTTTCCTTTGAAATTCGTCCTACTAGCGCCACCTCGCGACTGTTTCCGAAAACTCGGTTTCTTGGCGGAGAATGCACCTGCATTTCCATTACCACTAGCGCCATCTGTCTGCATATCCAATAACTTGGTCTTTATTGAATCTGTGGTTATGCAGATTCCTGAGTGCTCGACGGCCATGATCATTGGTGCGTACTTGTCTGGAAGACCGGCCAGCAGCAATGATCCTACCCACTCCTCGTCTATTTTGAAACCTGTTCTGCGTAACTTTTGGGAAGTCTCAACAATCTGGTTTATGTACGACTCCATACTATCATGATTCTCTAATCTTGCCGATATGAGTGTACGTAAAAGTCCAATCTTTCGCATGAAACCACTGTCATCATATAAACGTTTGAGACTGGTCCATACTTCTTGTGCAGTCGTTAAATCTTTGACATGCGGGAACAAAGATGGATCGATGGTTAATACTAGCTTGGCCTTTGCTTTTGCTAGGGTCGTTGTGTCGGTCTCGGTACCTTCGATGCATTTGTTTAAGCCCTCTAGCACAAACACATTCTCGACGGCAAACGCCCATTCATCATAATTCTCACGGCCTAAAAGCCTTGGCACACTCGTCAGGTAGTTGACGGCCATATTTGTTCTGTGAGAAACACTTGCGTCACGACAGTTTCTTTCAACGTCTCGATTCACTAAAGTTTCGCTGCTGGGTGTCCTACTGTGGGTCTGGGCCCATAACCTGATGTTTTTAACAGAGTTTACACACTTTTCACAGTTCAACCCGAACTTAAACGCAACTTAAAGCGAGATTAGCGAGATGAAAGAAAACACTTGTTCACGCTTATGATGGTATATTGCAACTACACTGACATTACAGAGTGACATGCACATAGTGGACAAACACAGTAGTAACGACATATGACACTAGATGTCGCTACTTTGACCAATTTTAAATATATAACAGCTACAGTAAACTTTTGGTATACTTATTCACAACAATTATAGCTCCCACAGATTTCTGTTCCTCTTTTTCTCTCTATACTTGAAAGGTGGCAACCCAGATTGTATCCCATTTTGATCACTAGAATACTGAAATTCTTCTAGCAAAAAATGTTTATGCCCTTTCCACTGGTCAACATATTTGTAGCAAAATATTACTATATCGATGGCAAAAATAACTAAGCTGCTCTGCATAGAAGACATATAAATATAACATGTATTGCCATTTTCTTATGCTTACATATATGTGGTATCATTAAAGGGCCAAAATACATAGAAAATTCAACTAAAGTGTTTGCTGATAGCTGGTATGAGAATTTATGTTTAAATAAGTAATTGTATTTTGAAAACAAAAAAATAAAAACTTTATATGTCATTATTGTCATCATTATGATCAGCATCTGGATCTTCTTGCTCTCCCATTAATACAAACAAATCTCCAGGCCGTCTAAAATAATCATCCAACAAAATAATTTTTTGTTTATTCTTAATTTCATACATGCACTCTTTCCAGGGTGAAACTCCGGTTACTGGTAGCTTCACTACTTCACCCCCTTTGCAGAAAACTCTTCTATAACTAAATGGATAGCTTCCATAGAATATCATTGTATACTTTTTCTGTTGTGGCAGATAGTATATCCTTAGCGGTGTCCGATACATCATTATCTGCAGTATGACAATTGCTGTGACAAATGCGGCCATGTAAAAGTACGCCTCGGTGCTAACTACTGGCAACTGGGAAGTGTCCCCGCGCGTTAAATAGTCTACTTTTATGGTAGTGTAAATAACTATAAATGCTGCAGATGCTGAAGTGATTAATTGAGTGTACATGAGATATCTGTCCATTCTATTCCTGTAAATTAGCATGTACTCATCGGGGACATTATCTTTTATCTTCAGTTCTTCTTTTTTCGGCCTTCTAAATAATGAAAATAGCGATCTTCTGGAGGTAACTTCGAGAGTGCGGCGCCTCAGAAAAGGTATATTTCTTTGGTTTTTTATTGTACTAAGCAACCGGATAGGCTGTTTTAAAAGCAAACTTGATCTTGCAAAGCAAGTTCCTACAACGTATAACATTTTGGCAAAATGTTCTTAATAATCACGATATATTTATTGTTACATAACCTCAATCACTAGGTTTGTTCCACAAATTTCTGGATTTTCAAGCTGCGTTCTCGGTTCTTCCTTCTGTGCAGATGAACATTTTATAAGCGAACAAACCTACATCTTCTCTGAGCTGTTATTTCAAACGTTAAGGTGAGCTATTGAACACTAGATGGCGCGCTAGGCAGAGTGATATTAATGTGCGGCGAACGCCATCCTGAAAGCAATAGTATGATTAAATGCTTCATATTACTATAATTTGTTAAGAAAAAATGGCACTACCGCTGTTGAGCAAGGCCAAGAAACCAGTGTTTGAAAGACCTAGGATATGGGTTGCTAAGATCATCACTCTTAATAAGTTTTTTGTAAGCTATAATCAATGCAAGTACCAAAGTAGAATTACTCGTATGCTAAAGTAAGTAGTGAAGAAGTAGATACTCGTGCGCAGTGCATCCAGTGAATAGTGAATACTCAGTCAAAATTAAAAGAATGGAGTGGATTAAACGTAGTTAAGCAAGATAACTGTTGAAATATGCTCTACTAGCATCACTAACTCTACAGCTGATTTTACCCTAAATAGTTACACCACGCTTAAAAAAATGGAAAAAAAATTGAAAAAAGAGGCAAGATACCTGAAAGACTCTGTCGGTACCCCGGGATAGACATCAAACTTTACAGCTGACCTAGTCCATTCTTGTCACCTGGACTGCGGCATTGCCAGTTCATCGGATCTTTCTGCTACTTTTTCGATTTCGCTAAAACCTCATAATAATGCTTGGAATAAAATATGGACTAATATTAATGAAGATACATAAGATTTGAGGAGTCATGATGTTTTCCAAATGATTAAAGGTGATTCCCATAAAAATTCAGATTGTACGTGCAAGTACAAACAAAACAATGATATTTTTGTTTTGAGTAAATCTGTATTTTTATAAATTGTTTACACTTTTTATATCTTTTATATCTCATGACCACAATTTGTACATAAACACACAAAAAATGTATTGCAGGTTTCAGATTCTGTATGTGTATAAATTCAGTATGTACCTAGGTATTTTGGAGTAACATATTGATATTTAAATTACAGTAAAAAGTATTGCGCATAATGATAATAATAAGAATGAAACAAAAAAGTGTTTGAACTTTTTAAGGGTGAACATGGTAAAACAACTAAAAAATATAGTTTTTGTACACATTTATTATAGGTATGTACCTACAAACATAGAATTTCATATCTATATTACCTAATTATATCAATGTTAAAAATAAAAGACATTCGCTTTGTAAGCTACAATTTATTGATCAATAAAGTCATAATGGTGTGAGTTCATGTTATTACAAAGTACATAAATTCACATGGATACCTGATATTGTCAGATCGAATTGTTGTAATTACAATTAATAAATCAATAAAGGCGTGTAACAATAAAAGTTTTATTGCAATTTGGTATTATTATATTACAATAGCACCTACTTCGTACTAACAAGTTGATTTACATATCGGGTATTAAGTTGAAGCTTGCCTTTAAGCTGTTTCATGTACCTCCTGATATGAGGTTTGTACTCAGGTCATCATATCTTTGTCTAATTCAATATGAGCCTTAATAGATTTTTCACTAGCAGAATCTTGCTATTGATCAGAACTGAAACATCAATTGTGAACAAGGTGCAATACTGGTTTCTGAACTCATTTAGCTTGACCAACCTTTGACCAATAGCATAGCGTCGCAATTCGCTCGATACACCTTGTTAGGGTATATTACTTATAATAGGTATATAGATCAGAAGAAGTGTTGCTGTCTAAATTCCAAATATAACAGGATATTGCTTCATAGTGCTGGCTCTTTTGCAATGTGTCGATATTCATTCAAACGTGGTAATATAATTATTATCAAACTAAACTGTTATGGAATGGATATCATGGAGTGTTTGAAATAAATATTTTTAGGCTAGATCTTTTCTGCTAACAAAATATATATTCTTCAAATACTTTACTTCATGTGGTACTCAGGAAAGAACCTAAAAATTACCTCTTTTTGTAGAAAAGCAGTTAACCACATGTAGACCTTATTGTTGATTAGGACAAGACTTTAACAAGCAAAAACTCCGAAGCTCAACAAATCATTGGGCAAGACGTTGTATATACGGTTCGGACCAAATTTAACAATGTGTACGATAGAGAAGCGCGAGAAGTGTGTATATGAGAGAACGTGCAATCAGCAGCGTTGCCGATATGTTACACCAGTTGTTCCTTGAATTAGGATGCATATTGAAAATATGCGTTAGTTTATTCTTTACGCCCAAATAATGGTTCTATTTTGAGCGTACACATTTTTGAATTATGAATTGTGTCGAATGTGTTTAGGATTGATTCCCGATCTGTCTTAACGACGCTCCATTTTAGATCGAAATGAAAGGTCAGGATCGCCACCAATTCTGCCACATTGCATCACCGGTTCCTTCGACAATACTGCATCTTGTACATTCCAAGGCAAAGTTTCCACCTCCATACGAAATGGATCTCCACGGGTTGAGCGATTTTGGCAATGTTGCCGAAAGTTTCGGTATTTCTACCTGCCTACAATCTTGCCAAATAATCTATAATTCCAACAACTATCCCCTGAACTGCCAGAATACGATTATTTGGACACAGAGCTCTCCTCCGTGACATCGCCGCACGATGTGCCTGCCAGGCAGACCCGCCTGACTTCCGCCTCCCATCCTAACCGTGTCGAATTTCGTACATCCAGAGCTGGCCGAACGACCGTGTGTTACAAGTTTCGGTAAAATGTCGTTAGAAATCTAAAATTCAGTAAATATTGAGATGGTACAATTTAAAAACCGGTAAAATATACTGGACTTTTTCCTATATTTTTCAAACATTTTTTTTCAGGTCTAGGGTCTAAACTGGTGGACAGTTGCTTTGCAACATGGAAAATTTTACCCAAATTCAAATCTCGATATTTTCGGAACGGAGTTGCGGTATTTGGAAGGTATTTGGGAGGTTCTTGACCAACTCTTTGAGAACACGTGAAGGGTTCGATCAGTATACTTCTTTTATTTATCCACTTATACAGGGTGAGCAAAGGCAGTCAGGTTTTGTTAGCAAAGTTTGGGGGGATGTCAGATTCTCAATTTTTGATCTTGGAAATTTTTCTATTTGATCTTTGGACGATCCTAAAAAAAGTAATTTCTCAAATTATTCGAAAGTTGGATATAAGTCAAATTATCGAATTTTAAAAGAGCTTTACATGTATTCCTAAAAAAGTGACTTTTTGGCGTTTCTCCCGAGAATCGGTATTTTTTCTAATACTGTTGCATGTTTTGTAAAAAGTTCGTTTTTGTCATAAATAGTTTTTGTTTTCTAAAATATTACATTTTCTTCATATTAATCAGTATATTCTTTGATGTTGTTTAAAAATTCAATAGAGTCTATTACCTATTGGAAAACATCTCCAATGAAGACGCGTGCGCCAATGCTGAATGAGAAACATGAAAGATAAATAGCAGTGTTGGCCAGCATCATAGCATTTTTAAAAATATTTTTTTTCAACTTATTAGCACTTCTTACCAAACCAAAAATGCTTTTGGTGTTACGCCACTGGAATACACCCTTATATTAAGAGTAGTAACTTGGTAAGCTGTTTAATTGCAGAGTAAAATATATAAATGCAGTTTGAATTAGATAATGTCAAAGAAGCAAATTTTTACTGCACGCTACAGGATGCAATAACGTTCAATGAGTGTCCCAATCTTTTCTCGAGCGCAAGAAATTCCACCAAAAATACCGATTCTCAAGAGAAACCCCAAAAAAGTCGCTTTCTTATTGATAAATGTAACACTTTTAAAATTCGATAATTTGAGTTATAGCCAACTTTAACGAAAAATTTGAGAAATTACTTAGTCCAAATATCAAAAAGATGAATAGAAAAATTTCCAATATCAAAAATTGAGAATCTGACATAGCAATAACCGTTGCTAAAAAAACCTGACTTCCTTTGCTCACCCTATCTACGTGGATAAATAAAATAAATATACCGGTCGAATCCTGTACGTGTTCTCTAAGAGTTGGTCAAGAACCTCCCGAATATCGCAACTCGATAACTCTTTCCGTTCCGAAAATATCGAGATTTGAATTGCCGTTTTTTTCGTGCGTTTTTGTTTTCTATCTGGACAAATTTAGATAAATAAAGACTTTTCTAATTTTCTTGAAAACGAATCGACCGATTTTAAGAAATCAAACGTCAAAGTGAAGAACTTCGAAAGACCTTTCAAACAAGCTATTACTCGATACACCTTGTCATTTAAAGTTTTTAAGGAGGTGATCCGCAGGGGGTTAAAGCGGGTGAAGTAGTTTCTGGTTAAAAAGTTGTCCCCCTTGACAGATCTTTTGACGCGTCTCCTCGCTAGAGTCCGTGTGACCCCTCTTTCTTCTGTAACTACCGCTGTCTCATTTTAATCTCCCCACCTAAATATTTCGAAAGCTGTACATTCTATGATGGTAACCTTGATAATGCCTTGATCATATCAAGGTCTAGTCACGTGTTTTAAGTCCGACCAGCTCCTTGGACATGACCTTGATCTTCAAAGCTACTTCAAGGTCAAACGATGACTAGACCTGAAAGTCAAGGTCGTGTCACGCTTAAATTATTTGAGGTCAACGTCACATTTCGGACTTAGTTTCCCTGCTCTTTCCATTTCAAGTATAAAAATTAGAGGTTTCCTTCAGAATTTTTGACTTGACCTTGGTAATGGTCACTTTTGTGTGATCCCCACAAAAATACTGTCCAACATTTTTGTTAGAGCAATTTTTTTTTCGATGTCTTGACATAACCTTGAAGATAAAGATCAAGGTGATGTTTGGACCTGAAACTTGTTCCTTTTCAATTCTGATGTGAACAAGTGGGCTTTCTATTTAAAATATTCACTTGACCGTGAAAGGACCGTAAAGGTTGCTGTCAAGGTTATGATCATTTTGAACCCTCGAAACTCGACTCTTGTTTGAAACTTTCTTTCTAGAGAGTGCAGTTTTCGAAGTATTCAGGTGGGACAATGTGTATAGTCTCACATTTTTTTTTAATTTTTAGATTTTCCATGAAGTTTTTAGTAACTTTTGTATGATAAAGTTTATATCTTCAATCGTTGTGAAGCTATTTGAGTTTATAATAAAGTTTGACTTAATACTGATAATAATGGAATGCACGGAGAAAAATAATAATAATGGATACCAGCAAGACCATTTAGTACCAGTCAGTGTCATCGTATGTCATAGAAAAACTTAGTCTTTCATTTCAAATTGTTAAGTTGCCTACCTAGTTGTGATAAATATTAAACAAGGGCTTATTCAATTCAAGAAAGGGTAGAAATAAGAAAGCTACATTACAAAAACGGGGGTATTGCAAAAACTACTGCCCTGTTGTTTAATGCATTATATCGAGACAAAAATATTAAAGATAAGTATGTGGCTAAGTTGATAAGAAAGTTTGAAGAAACTGGATCGGTGTCTAATATTCGCCGTAATCGCCATCGGGAAATTCGACCGGTTAGAAATGAAGCAGCAGAAATGGCAGTTTTGGGACACGTAGCGTTTGACAACTCGCGGACTGGCTACTTCTTCAGGATTTACAAAATTTTCTTCCATGCAAAACGGACCGATTATCTCTTGATATACGATACCGGC